GCTAGAAAAGTACAATTAGTTACCCTTTTTAGATGTCATAGTTAGTAAAGAAGGAAGCAAACTGGGTAGTTATAGGAAACCCACAAATGCTGGTTTCCTTATTAATTTCTTCTCGAATTATACTTATGGTCTTAAGGTAGGCGCTACGAAATCAATGATTTACGTCTAGCGGACGTAAATCTGAGTTAGAAAGGCTAAGAAAAATATGAGTTGAGAGCAATTATCCTATAGGATTAATTGCTAACAATTTCAAAACTTTGAGAAATAAGGTAAAGGAAAAGCATTATTTTGTACAAAACAAGGAATTAGACAACTTTTCGGCCAAGTTCCTAATGCTACCATCCTGCGAGGTTTCAAGAAAGATAGGCGAATTATTGAGCAAATGGAATGTTGAGACAATGTGTAAAGAAACAATAACGCCTTTCTCGATTGGGCCTTATTTTAGATAATCTTTTGACGCCCTCTGCAGATCAAGTTGTTATAAGGTTTTGTGCTCATGTGGTAGTGTTTATGTGAGGGAGGCTTGTCGATCCATACATAAGAAGTTATAAGAACACAAAGCCGTCTGCAAAGGTTTATGCATTCAGAAATCAGAAATGGCTGAACATGTGGTCGCCACAGGACACCAGATAGAGTGGTCTAAAACTCAACGTTTTGCCAGATATGGGGACTTCACAACTGAACGGAAGAACATGGAGCCTATTCAAATTTACGAAATCAACAACCTAAATAAGAGGAATGAATGTAGGAAACTAAGCAAGAACTATCTATGGCATCCAAATAGAATGAGGGAGAGAGCGAAGAATAGGGAACCGGAAGGGCCACTCAGTAATAGAAGACTAGACTAAGCTGTAGCCTGTTTTTGAAACTAAAATTATCAACCATCTTGGGGTTGTTACATACAAACACAAACACAAACACGCATCTACGAAGTTGTAACAAGATCCAGGACTACTGGATCATACTATAGTTTATTTACATACACAAAAGTTATGATCATAGCTTCTCTCCTTGCATCATTATGACCCACTTAAATGCATGTAGGAGCAGCATAAAACAGACAACCGGATCATGGAATACCTCATTAAGCTCGCAAAGTGAGGTATAAGTTATAAGTAGGATCTCAGCTGGCCACCTTTCTCGGTTTAGTGTTTTACGTTGATTTTTTCCTGAATAATGGTTTCTGGCTCTGACGATGTCCGTCACATGACAGATGAAATCGCAGCACGGAGTCATCAGGCTCGTAAGACGGTTAGCTGAGTTTTTCTTTGCACCATTCAACTGACAAAAGTCTAAGGCAACCCTCCTGCGGTATCCGGTGGGGCCAATCCACGAATCCCTTCACCCGCCTTCTCAGACAAAATGAAAGATACGCCAGTATCAATACGTCTACTGTTAGCCAAATAGCTCGAGTCTCCGCCGCATCTGTCGTGCTTCATATGTCCTAGTCTCTTGTGTGTCAACCCACATTGAACCTAATAAAAACAGGTAGAACCACAACAATTGTGGGTTGGCACATAAAGGACTAGCACATAGGAAGTTATAGACTTGGCACTATGGATAGAAGCACGACAGATGCGGTGGAGACTAGAGCTATTTGGTTAACAGTAGACGTATTGATAGTGGCTACAGCGATCAATAGGTACAGTCTAATTTGCTGTGAATTTAATCTTTCTCGAAGATATGAAAACCAAGATGGTGTGGCCTTTTGTGTGGTCGCAGTCTATAAGTCTTCCTACCATTATGACCAAGTTGCAAAAACAAGATCAAACAACTTCATCTTTCTCCTTTCCCTATTGCTCTTTTCCCCACTACACACTTGTTACGCATCACCTACTTCTACTTCGGAATGCCTGGCTCTACTATTCGTCCACAGCATTCGGCAGAACATCTCTACCGTTGTCCAATGCTCTCATCTGAGCCTTTGGCGTCCGGACTTGCTAAAGCCTTCAGTCCGACCGTTCCGGCCAGTCGTGCTCAGCTCTGCTTTATGTCACCTTGCGCCTGCCCCTTCTACTCAAATCAAAATATGGTGAGCATTTGTCTGGCGAGGGGCAATTTATTAGTTGGGATAAATAAATGACTATCGATTGTCATTCGTGTATAGCTCGACTTACGTGGCGAGCTGCGATTTTGTAGGAATTTTCCTAACTAAACTCATTGAAGGCCTAATATGGATGGACATAAATACACAAAACTTTCATGCTCTACGCTATGTCTGCTCTTGCTCTGGCTGTTTAACACTCCTACCAAAGCTCAGCTAAAGATTCTACGATGCCTCTTTGAAAGTGTGGAAAACCAGTCCTTTATATGCGACACATTTATGGTTTGTATGGTGGCAACAGGTCAATTAATTTATACACTATATTCCTGGTAAAAGTAGTTTTCAAAACTCAGTTATTCTTGAATAAATCTCAGGCACCCTAAGTCACTTAAGGTGATTTAAGAACTGATCGTTGAATTTTCCCACAATCAGATGTCTGTAGTTTAGAATACCATCTCATTTCATTTAACCTTGCCTCCAATCGTGTCTAAGGGGGACTGCAGTTCCGACCTCGCCTGAATTATTATAATCGGCATCTTCAACAGAATTCAACATACGGATCGTGAGTAGTGCGATATCAAAGTAGCCATAATATTCACGATCTGGTATCACTTCCCAATGAGTATTACTGATACCAGTTCAGGCGAGCTCGAGACCGCACTCCACTCCAGCCTAAAGGAGATAGTCTGTTGTGAGGTAAAGCCAAGTGAAATTGCTCGTGGGAAAACTTAATTATCAGTCATTAAATCACCTTAAGCTTAAGCTGAATGAGTTTCTTGTATATTTTTATTATTCTTATGTAAGTAATTGCCCAAAACACTTGATAGTAGGATCACTCAGTCAGCCTTGTCAGAGTCGAAGAAAGACTGTCAGTTCTCGGGACTTCTTTTGCACTCCGACTGACCTTCTTAGAATCATATGATACTCATGGCACTAATTTGCAATAACGTAAAATCACGAAAACCGTAAAGTGACGTCTAAAATATTTCTTGTCTCCGGCATCGTATCACGTGAAAGGCGAGGAATTATCACAGATCCATCAGTACCAAAAGACTATAGTGAGCTAACTGGCAGAGTGCTCGTATACGTGGCCAGTTGTTTCATGGGAGGTGAATATTTGCTTCTTCTTAGTTTAATAAGATGGAGGGATTTTAGT